CGCCCGTATAGGTCCAGCGCCACAAAGGCGTTCTGCGGGGAGGGGAGAGGCGGCGACATCAGCGCATGACGTCATGGCCCTGCCCCTCCCAGGCATGGCATGAGTTCAGGGAAGCCAGTGCCATCACAGCGAAGGCCCTCCCAGGCACAAAGTGAGGTCACAGAGCCCTGCGACATCGCTATCACTCTCTTCTCGGGCAGGACACGAGGTCAGGGAACTCAGCGACATCACAACCAAGCACCATCCCCAGGCAAGAGGTGAGATCACAGAGCCCTGTGACGTCACGGTCAGGACCCTCCCAGGCAGGAAATGAGGTCAGAGAGCTCTATGACATCACAGCTGCGCCGCTGCCAAGTAGCAAGTGAGGTCAGGAAATGAAATGGCATCAGATCAAAGCACCTCTACGGCAGCAAAGCAAGGTCACCTAACCTGATGACATCATAACAAAGCTCATCCCAGGAAAGAAGTGAGGTCACGTTGCCCTGTGACATCACGGCCAGGTTGCTCCTGGCCAGGAACTGAAATCAGAGAGCTCTATGACATCATACTTGTGCCCCTCCCAAATAAAAAATGAGCTCATGAAACGGAGTGACATCATGGTGAAGCCCCTCCCAGGCAGGAAGTGATATCAGAGAGCCTCGTGACATCACAACCACGCCCTTCCCAGGCTGGAAGTCAGGTCAGAGCGCCTCATGACATCACAGCCATGCCCCTCCCAGGCAGGAAATTAGGTCAGAGCACCTCATGATGCCACAGCCATGCCCCTGCCAGGCAGGAAATGAGGTCAGAGAGCCTCATGATGCCACAGCCATGCCCCTGCCAGGCAGGAAATGAGGTCAGAGAGCTCCTGGTGACCCTGGAGCCCTGCATCAGGTGACACTGCGGGGGTGACATCACAGGAAGTGACACTATGGGAGGGACATCAAAGGAGTAACGTGGAAGGGGGTGACATCAGAGCAGGGTGTGTGACCTCACGGGGGTGTTACCTTGGCGACGCCGGTGGCGGCGGGGCCCATGTCCTCCCCATCTACCAGGATGTGCATCGTGTCATCGGGGCCGCGCCGCACCCCCAGACGGTTCCCAACCTGGCGGGGGGGGGCACCCGTCAGACCCTTCCGAGGA